GCATTCAGGCTCTGAAGCCGACCAACGATCGCAGTGTTCATTGACCTGAAAGGAGCCTTCGACTCGGTTGACCGCGATGCTCTGATGGGTTCCCTTCTTCGAAAAGGAATGCCCCACAAGTACGTTAATCTGCTGGTCACTATACTCACATACCTCCGGTCTTGCAGCGTACGCAGGACTAAAACACCTCTGGCGGCGATGTGACGTTTCACTAAAGTTGAAAGGTCGCGTATACTGCCACCGTACAATCAGTTCTACTTTACGGTTGATGCCTTGAATTTGCAGGTAGAAGACATCCGTCGCTGTGATTTTTGACAGTCGAGGCTTACGTAGTCTGGCCCAAGTGGGATGGAGTGAGCGGGTTAGTAACCTAGAAGTAAGTCATCGGGTATTTAGGAATGCATCGAATACGAACTCGCTATCGCATCGAATCCAGCTCAATGGTCTTCTTTGATTAGGGCACGTCTTGCGTATGTCTGACGGTCGCCTTATTCGCAGTGGCTGTTGCAGGCTGGAAAGCTGCTTGGAGACCAGCAGATGACGTGGAGACGCGGCCTAAAGAAATGTACAGAACGATTAGGTAGAGTGTCTCTCGTCTTTCAGGTTGGGGTCCAAAAGACTCCGAAACCGCATGGTTGAAAACTCTGAAGGTCATGGCTGCGAACCGACAGCAATGGCGAGATTGCTGTCACTTCTTATCAGACCAGAATGCTTGAAATAGTAAATATGCACAGTTGGGTGGTGTATTTTGTTTGTTGACCATAGAAATTTGCTTTCTTTTCCCGTCCCTAAAATTAAGTCCAATCCGTGTCCTCCTTACACATTCACTTATCTTGTATGCAATATGAGTTTGGCAGCGATCAGTGAAGTTCGCTTCAATGTATTAGGCTGATGATGATGATGATATCAAAATTACTCACCTTTCGATTCTACCCATCTCCAGTATCATGGTTCCAGTGTTTCTTCAGCAAGCGAACCATCTCCGTCCGAGTAAATAGGGTCCTGTCTCGGCTATTAGCTGTGACCACCGGTGTTACCCAAGGTTCCATACGTTCTCCTACCCTTTTTCTTTTATTTATCAACGGTATTTTGTCTAAATATTCTAATCCCATTCACTGCTTTGTCACTCTCCATTGTTCTCTTTTTACCCCATAACCCATCAAGAAACTACCAATATCGACCACAATCGAAATGTCATTAATGTTTCTCTTGTTCGATCTCGGACTCATGTCCGCATGAGGTTCTACCAACCATATGTTTCAGTGCTTCCAAAACGTCTCTCTTTAACGTGTCCCCTATTCCCCTCGATTGATTTTTGACTCTGCCCCTTCATTCCACAAATTCTCCCTCCTGGATTAATCCATAGGTTTTTCTCTGTTAGTCCCCTTTTATTTCTACACTTGCCTCTCGCGCTGCGCGCAAAGTCGATTTTCCATTCCCCACAAAACGTTTCTTTAAACCCAAGCATCCTCTCCTTTTATACAAAGCTCAAATCCGCCTGATGATCGAGTACTGCAGTCACGTGTGGGGTGGAGCTTCGTATTCCGCTCTTTCTCTCGACCGTGTTCAGCGTATGACCATCCGGCTGATCAACAAACCGTCTTTAACTTCCAACTTGCGGTCACTTTCTCATCGCCGGGCAGTTGCTTCGTTATCTCTTTTCTATCCCTACTATTTTGGTTTTTGGTCTTCCAAACTCACTTCAGTGTTTCTCCTTCCATTGACATTTTCTCATCCATCTCGTGCTCAGGCGGTCAGTCATCTTTATTAGTTTTCTGTCCCCAGATGTTGGACTTCTATCTTTCCATCTTCTGTTTTCGAATCGTGGAATCGGGAATACCCCACTTCCGTGTTTTCAACCCTTTTTAACCTTACTCTTTTCAAAAACAAATTGATTCTTACTTGAATGTTCCCCCACGTACTTTCCCCTTACTGTATATCATTGATCATGGAGTTTACCTCTTTTTTTCTGTGAATCGCTTCATGTGTCATAAAAAAGCTGGTGGTGTAAAAATAGTGTTTGTCGCAGCTAGAAAAAGGTCTTGAAGGCATTGAAAAGAACGCGATTGGGATCAAAACTCAAACCATGGATATTTACCTTTACTGCCTTGTTTGTTGCTCCAAGAAACATTCCTGCCGATGTCAATTATACTAATATACATAAGTTTCCTAAACAGTGGCTCACCGAGGGCACGGGAAATGATCGTGAAACATGGGTCTAAAGGTAAACAGTTGCGATTATTGGTAACGATCCAAAGCTTATCTTATCACACAAAGGCATGATAAAGTAAGAAAAGGCAACCACATGCGAAGAGTACGGTGAGATGAGGTATATAACTCAGAGTAGATTATCCTTTAAAATCTAATAGGGTTGTCACGACTACGGCCAATAGATTTTACAGAATTTGCCGACATGATTCAGCAAACTATAAACCATCACCAAATGCGATCAAATGCTGCCATAATTCACTGAAAACGCCCTTATTAGCCAGGTGAATCAATCGACAATGCCTCTGCGCCCTAAATAGTAATTCCCATTTTTCTAAAGGATCAGTAGTGCCATTGATCTTTAATTAAACCGTATAATTTGATCTTAAGACATCACTTAATCGAACTTAGTGATCATTTATGGTTTCTTTAATCTGTCAACCGTGCCATAACCCTTGCTGGGGAAGTCCTACTCATGATCTCGAAGTAATGAATGTTTTCGTCGGGACATCATCGTTCAGACTCCATCTTCATGCACAATCCTTTGTTAATCCAGTCAGCTACACACTCCACCACTAACCTCAAGTCATTGCGACTGTAAAACGAAAATTGAATCCTGTGCAGTAGGTTTATTCGGAGAGATGCTGTCTCGTCCACGTTCCATCTCTCTCATTGGGTGCATGAGGCCAAGGGCCAATCCTGAATAGCCGACCGTCAATCAACGCTCCAAAGGACATTACACTGAACTAAAAACCAAAGGCGTTGAGTGACAGATCTCTGGAGGGTACCATACTGGTGTTTCGGTCACACTGTCGCGTTGGATTTACGCCCCACTGACTTGTGGGCATACTTTTGAGTGCGTGTATTTCACGCATGTCTGAGGCCCGACTGTGTCAAATAAGTCACGGTATAATAATCTTTATAAAAAGAAAATCGTTCCATGATTTATTTGTGGGCGGAATACTGCCAGGTTGTCCAGACCAAGGCAGGTGAATTTTTTGGAGGAGTTTACAACGAAAACCTGACCGGAAAGGCAGCGAGGCGGTGTTTTTAAAATCGCAATCCATTGGGGGGCCTGTGCCCAGTTCATCGGATCATATATCCTTTGGAGGGAGTCAAACGACGAAGGTGCCCAATACACCTTAATACCCAATCGAGCCGGTAATCAATACTACGACCATGAAGCTGTGGATAGGTGTGGGTGTGGTTCATACGGCTCTTAGTTGCTTTGGAATCAAGGTTTCAAGAAACTCCCCTAGGTGAACTACCGGTGGTTCAATGACCCAGATATTGGCTTTTCGTTCTCCCGCTTTGGTGGGTAAACATCGCCATAATAAGACAGTGAGTAGAGCTTCATCAACAGAAGCTACTCGAGACTCTTGGTCGTATGAGAGCATTTCACGATGTACAGGAAAAAGATGGCCAACCGCAACCACAGACCCGCTCTCCTTAAGCGAATTACGTTACTTGAGCAGTTAAATCTCTGCTAGAGGATGATTCTCTGATGAATTTTCAACACGCATAAAGAAAAGGTTAAAGACTTGACATACCAATGGCTCCATCGCGACATTCGGTTATTCTTGAAAGGTCAGATGTGTAGCAGCCTTTCGGCCAACGCTACTTTATGTTACATGGACGTAGCCGTTACGAAAGCGAAACAAGAAGTTAGCATCGATGTTCGGATGCCATCATCGTACAGCGGAATGCACTGAAGCGAGCTTCACTGATTTCTGCCAAACTCAATGCAAGTGAGAATGTGTATTACACGATCCAGGTAGGTTAGATAATCACCACTTTTCACTGACGCATGTGCTTGACTTGCGTAGATTGTGTTGGTCTAGGTATGTGTTACACATAACCGGATGGGCTTCCTCGTTGTGCGATGTTGGCAGGACGAGGATGTAAAAATCCTGACCATAGACTCGCTCAATTAGGTCGCATCAGGCTTACCATCGAAGACTCCATAATCCAACTATTTAATTGTTGAAGATGACCGAGTAGTTTGTGCATTTTCTCCCTCTCTAATCATGTTTAGTTTACTTCCATTACTTTTTCACTTTGCTAAAGCTCTTGACGTTTTAACCCTTCCTTTCCCTTATCATATTATCGATTCAAAGGCTCGCCAACACCGTCGCACTACAACCCAAGATCGATGGTTGACTAAACATTCTTACCCTAAGGCAAGCGAAAAGTAACAAACTCTCGACCCATAGACAGCCCGTGTATAATGGCACTTTCTCCAATTCTTGTTATTATTTACGTGTTATAAAGAATCACTCCAACAGAGTATTTCTTGGAGCCAGAACGGGCCTGCTCCCAACCGTAAAGAGGCTAGGGCTTTTTATGAGAAAGGAAATAGTGCCTATTGATTGCAAGTGTCCCGGTCGAGTAAACAGCAGAATACAAAAGAAAAAGACCAGGCCGTCACAAAACTCCCACGAGGTTGATAAACTCGACACAAGTGACTGATAAACAATTGAATACCTTAGGACAGTGGCATTAATGACCGTAACTTGCGCGTCTGTTCTCTGAGCTCTGCTACTAGCGATGCACCTGGGTGAGAAGTAAATCTACTGCAAGCAGATGCAATTTTTGTACCAGACGAAGTTTCACAACATAAAGATAAACTCTAGGTTCAGTGAAAACCTCAAAGCTGACCTCCTCCAGGTTGTATGGTAGGTTACAAGCAGTACACAATAAACATACATAAAAATACTCAATAGTCGTTTTCATAAGTTGTATTGCAAATACAATTTACTGTCAGTTATTTCTACCTTTTTTCAGGTGATTTGCTGCTCATGTTGAAAAGAACATATCCGGGATCGGCCAGTCTTTTTCAGGATATTGGGAGTCCGTTTTACTCACATTTTATCATCCGTACTTGATTATTGTGCTTCAGAAAAGATGGTGATCTATCTTCGTGATGGTCGCGTCTACATAGGATTTTTGCGCATCATAGATCAATTTGGTGAGGCTTCTTTTGCTTCTCGTGCATTGGTTATTTTTTTCATCAGGTAACATTGTCATTCATCAAGCGATTGAACGGATTCACGTGGGTAAAAAGTTTTGCGATATCCCTCGAGGTATTCTGATAATACGCGGTGAGAACATCATCCTTATTGGTGAAGTAGTAAGTCCGGTTATATATGCTATAATTAATTTGTAAGTGACATAGACTAGAAAAGCGTCAAAGTTCTGGTTCGCTCTTATAACAACAACATTTCTTGGTGCACATGTATTTATATACACCTGGGTGTACATCAAATGATGCTTGCAGAGATCAATTTAAAAAACCACGAGACTACTTCGCACTGCTTTAGAGGCAATATGAAAATCGGGGTAT